ACATAGTTCAAGTTATGGCACGCAAGCTAACTGTGCCTTTTATTTTGAAACAAAGGAAGTGCAACTTAGAGAGTGGTTGTCTCTCTGAAACTTTACAAGAAACGCAACTAAAACTCAAAGACACGTTTCTAAAAAGTTATAATAATAGAAGATAATAATCGGTTTGTATCGATGCAGGTAGTTTTATACGATGCATCTCGAGTTTATGTGCGGTTTTTACCGATGCAGACGTTTGCAAATCGATGCAACCGTATCGCACAGGTCGTTCCGATGTTCCGATACGCATCGGTGAATCTTGCCATGCCTAATTGTGATGCTAACGTCTGTTAGCGCAAACGAATGTTCCAGTCTGAATATCAGACTGAAAAGCTGAGCTGAGCTAATCAGTCGTGATGTGTTCTGGATCTGGTTATTTCTGGATAAAGGGGCTTTGTTAGAGCAGACTAATGCTTTATGTCCCTCTGAGCCATTAAAGTTTTTCAAAATGGCGGATCGCCATGGAAACCTCCGTGTTTGTGTACATACAGATAGGAAATTCTTCCTCATAAGGATAAGTCAGATCATGTTAGAGGTCATTTTAGACCAAATAAGGAACATTTATAAACCAAGAAAATGATTTTAGCTAATAAAATACTTAAAATACTACACAAAGTCCCTTTAATGTGCATATTATAGTTAGTTATGGCCACTTGGGGGCAGTATTAGGATTCAGGGAAGAGTCTCTTTGTTGTGTCGGGGCTATTTGGCTCTTTATCTCAGCTCAGATCAGTTTTGAGGAGAAGGATAACAAAAGGTTGAGGAGGAAATTGGATTGTAGGTTTTGGCTTTGAACAAACCTGGTTTTCACACAAGAGTGTTTTCATCTCTGTGTTCAACACTTTGAAACAGTGAAAACTCAAAATCCTTTGCTCTGTATGATGAGATCAAAGCGGATCGAACCTACATGTGAACAGGATTTAAGAGTAAAACTAAAGAAGGCCCAGGTTTTCATATGAAACTAACACAGTTTTTTGTCTATTTGACCACAACAAAAGAGCTCCAAGTCCATTTTCGAAAATACTCTGGTCCCCCATTATGATTCTGGCTCCTTAAAACTTGTATTTCAATGTTTTAAATCACAAAAACTAATGAAACAAAAAGTTCTGGAGCGTGAGGATACAACTTATATCTAAAAAAAATCCTAAAAATGTCTTTGATATTAAAATCAGGCCTTTTCCAGCAGGCCTTTGTTTTACATCTCGTTTTGTTTTAAGGTAAAATGCAGATTGAACAGGGCAGGAAATCTAAAAAATCCAAAGAAAGATTAAAATAAAGGACATAAAGCTGATGTTTTTCGACCACTCACCCCTCTGCGCTCTTGCTACTGTGTCCGCCATCTTTGAGGTACATCGAGAAATCGATCACGCCGACCTGAGGAGGAAACGATTGAGAAACGTCAGGAGGTCAGTGAACGCACCATTGGGGAGTTCTACCCGAGAAGGCCGACAAAAAACAAACCCCAGATGGGTTTAAAATAATAATTTTTAAGAAAGTAAATTAAAAAAAATCAGATCTTTTTTCTTTTTCTTTTTTACAACCACCAAATTATTATTTCTATTATTATATTATTATATTATTATAACTTATTTGTTTTGATTCTTTTCATTTTTTTTTAAACCCACCAAATTATTATTTCTAATTATA